ATAAAATAAAATAAAAATTTAAAAAATAAAATAAAAATAAAATCAGTGTCATGAAAATAAATGTCTTGTATGCAAGTACATTCTACTGCACTTAAATAATTTCCAGATTTTCCCCCACTGTTACCAGTTCTAACTTATATTCACTCACCTATGGTAATTTTTCCTTGTATCTTCTCCAGAACAAAACGAGCTTGATTGTTAAGCTTGGTAGACTCTGCACCCAACATTCCCACAAGCCATTCCTTGCGTAAACTATAATAATGTAATCGCAAATCAAAAAACTCCTTCAGGATGTCCTGCACAGTTTCATACTTCTTTAAACATCCCATATGATCAAATAGCACCTATAAAAGACATAAAATACTGCTTGAGAGAGACTGAATAACTCAAACTCTGTTAACCTTTGCATACGAGTTTACTTCTACTGCACATATACACGCAGCACACAAAAAGTGGTATTTTGAAGACTGAACTCAAACCTTACTGTGGAACTACACAGCACATAGCTGGAGAGATTTTATTTTCATTCACAAGATTTAAGATCAGAGTTATGATAACACATTCAATCAGGTTGAATGACTAATTTTGTCTAAATATTAAAGCACAAATTCAGTAGCACACAATGATTCACAACTATTAAACAAAACAGTTGAAAAGCAGCTTTAAAAGTCTTTCAGTTCAGCTGTCAAATCTGTCACTTCTCAGTTGTGAAAACTGCCACCCCTCAAGTTCAAGCACAAACAGAGTAAGAAATTATTTTTACATCATAGGTGGAATCAATCCTTCCTGACTTCTGACATCTCCAGTGAAATAGTCACCCTAGCCACCCTCTACAGTCAACTGAAATAAGTAAGCCCCTCTAGAGGGCAATTAATCTACCTAAAATCTCTGGGAGTTGGGTGAACAATGACTAGCCTGAATACCTTGAGATGCTTACACTAGGGCAGATTAATTCCTACACAAACACAGAAAGCAGCCCTAACTATTTATTTCAGTAGGCAGAAAACACAGGATTAAGCTGCAAAACACTGTGTTAAATATTAATTTGAAGACAGATTCTCACAGTAGTTCATATGGTTGTTTAAACCTGTGAAAAGTATTATCCTTGATTTGGTAGATTTACATTTCAAGCACAATCTACAAAATGGGTTGATCAAGGCCTTTTTCCTCTTCCAATTCAAAGGTTTTTAATTTATTTCTAACCTATTTTCACATAGCTTTTGATTTATACAATAATAGCAACAGTAATGGCATTTTTGCTTTGTGATAATATCTGAAAGTAGTATCTGCCATAAAAAAAACCAGAACTGTGTTTTTCAGTCTCTGTAAATACAGGTTGTTTGGAAATATTCTGGCAGAAATTATCTTACAATTCAAATCCCTCTCATAATACACAGACAGTTACTCACATTCTTACTCCCATCTTGCTACAAGTACAATAAACTGTATGAGTAATTTACATCATCATTATGTCTCCAGTAGCTTAAGGATAGTGGTTTTTTTATACCTTACAACCTAAAATGGGATTTATGTCAGTGGAAACATTGGATCATTTAACTCCTATTAGAGGAGTAATAGTCCTGCATAAAGTGCAATTTTGAAAATGTAACTTGTCTCAAGTTTAAAACTCAAATCTAATTATGATTTGGCAGAAAGTTATTTGTATGATCTACTTTACATTAAGCATTTTTGGTTAGCTGCACAGGAAACCACCTCGAGCTTGTCTAATGTGGTTTGAAAGATTCATCAGGACTAAAATGGATTTGCTGATCCCTACTGACCTTATATTTGTCATCCCTACAATTTTCTACTATTCAATTTCAAATACACAATACACTGTTCAATACCAAGTATCAAAGTACACTACAACAACATGTGAGTTTACAACAAGCAACAGTAAGGATTCTGATAGTCAAACATGAAAAAGTTACCATAGAATTACAAGTAAGACTTGTTTGAAGCTTAAAGACTTTGTGCAGTCCAGCAGCTTCTGCCTGTGCAAGTTTTTCTTCTGTCATCTTCACAACAAATTTCACAGTTGTATCAGTGTGGTATTCCTTATAGTCAGAAATTAATGCTGGAGTTTTTTCAGTCCCATTCAACATAGGTTCTAGAACTTGTTCTTTGTACACCTATTAAAAACAGGGTATCAAAAACCAGAAACACTTCTTAAAATTCCCAATTCTTTAAACCAACTGAACATAACATTTCAAAGCTTTGTGCATTACATCTGATACCAGTGTGATAGTTTCACTGGTCCAGCCCTTGGCCAGCAGCCAACACAGCCGTTCACCCACTTCCCCCCACCCCCAGGAGATGGGGGTGAAGACTGGGGGCAAGGATAAGGAGGCTTGTAAAAACCAGGACAGATACCAGTTAGAAATTCTAGAACCAGTATAACCTGCAAAATGCAGGCCAAGACTAGCACAACATAACAGGCATCTAGCAAGGACAGAAAAGTCTACTCAAAAGAAAAAGGGGATTAAATATTAATTCAACAGGAGAAACAGGTATTCTTTGTAGTACGGACAGTAAATGGCACAAGTGGAAAACCATCTTCTACAAAGGCACACAAAAGAATGAAACCATGTTCCTTTCCATGTATGTATAATCATCAGAAATTGTGTTAAAATCCATCATGGACGTAGGATTAATAATTTAATAAGGAACTTTTTGTTGCTTTTGTTTTTTATGTAAATGTTACATTACTTACCTGGGTCCATGTCCTTACAGGAAGCTCTGTAATTTCTACTGTGTTCCTGTCCACCACAAATATTTCACCACTGACTACATACTGGTTTTGACCAAGTTCCTGAATGGTTCCTTTGAAGTTTTTGTAGTTTGGGAGCTGAAATTGCAAAAATCAGCAAAGTGGTCATAATCTTTATAATAAAATGCTAAAAAATATTTGTTTCCCATACACCATACAGATATCATTTTATATTGCACTAATCCATCAACCAGCTTCTCATGCCCATGAAAATCTCAAGTCATAGGAAAAATGCTACAGAAAAAACACAATACACACATGCAAGTGACGGGAGTATCTCAAAGTCTACAGAGCAGATAAATGATTACAAAGATGCAGCTGAACCCAGTGAGGTGGTGGCTTTTTTATTTTATTTGTAGGTTTTTCTGTTGTTTTTTTTTTTTTTCTTTTTTTAAAGAAAACTGCAAGCACAGATAAGGCATGACAGAAAGCAGATTAACACCCCAGTCCTCAATAACTTTACAGAAGTGGTGCTACCTCCCCTAACCATTTTTTTCATTCTTGTGCTGCTTGGCAAGGATAGTGGAACCCATCCAGTTCAAAAAGTAACTAACAGGGCAGGGAATTTTTTTTTTACTGAATTGATTCCTTTATCCAGCTTACCATACAGCCACAAACACATACCAGCATACAGAAAGGAGCTAGATGGAGGCAGAACTGCCTCTTTCAACCACAGTGAAGCTTCAATTGACTGTGAGACTACACAGAAGGCCTAGGAGTCCTAAAGGAAGGGCAATGGATTGCATTAATTTTAAAAAAAAAAATCTATTCATTGTTCCCAAGAATTTGCAAAAGGAAATTCACTATGTCATGAAAATTGATACTGCACACTCAGTGAACTGCAGAGAAGAAAAGATGTTTCTGATTCTAGGACTTGGTAAGCACAGCAAAGTAGCAATATCCCTCAGTTGTAAAGTAAAAGTTACATTATCTGTATTTCCTCTGTTGGTTATAGATATTCTGGATTCACCCAGGTATTCTTCCCGTCCACCTTTTTTCATGTATACACCACTTCCAAGACATCTTATAAAATGTCAAATAAAGGAACAGAGGCTAGATGCTGTTCAGAAGCTACTGATTTTCTTGAGCAGTGACAATACCTTCTCCTGTGCTTACAGACATAGAAAACAGTACAATTCAGACAAGACAGAGGAAGTGTTAAATTTGGCTGAAGATGATTAGTAGTAGCTTCAAAAAGGAAAGAGAGGTACAAATTTTTACTCTACTGCCATGTCATAACTACCCTGTAAGTCTTGCAACTGTGAAGGCTTAAAGTTAGCAGATTGAATAAAAGTCCTCTGATATAACTGAAAAAATGAAAATTGCAATGTTTTTGCTTCAAAGTGAATTCCCCCAGCCACATCCCAACAATCAAGTAAAGCTCCTACACAAAATTACTGGGACAATCCAACTCTGATGTTCCAATAATCAAGCATTTCTAGAGTGACACGAATTCATTTTTTAAGTACAAAATAAGGTTTGTTTAGTAAACATATAAAATACCAGTATATATAATTAGTTTTACCATTGGGTGGGGATCTAAGCCATCCAGCATTCGTCTGACATTGTTTACAATCTCTCTAGTATCGTAGTTTGGAAGTTTGCAAGCCCATCCAGTACCAATTCCTTCTGCTCCATTTACTAAAACCATGGGAATGATGGGAATATACCATTCAGGCTCCACACGCTGGTTGTCATCATAAAGGAATTTAAGCAAGTTGTCATCCACTGATGGAAAAAGCAGCCTTGCTAAAGGGCTTTAAAAAAGAAAAAGAAAAAGAAAACTCTTTAACTGGAGTCCAGTAAGTACATAATGCTTTAAACAGTCTGTGGGTCCAGATATGATCTACTGGTAGATTTTTCTCATGTCTTCCTTTCTCTTTGCCATTCTGAAGCTGAAAATACAGTGTACATACCTCCCGAGCAAAGGAAGTTCTTCCCCGTGGAAGACTGTTTTCATTAGAGATGATGTTTCCTTCACAATATCTCATGTACACAATACTAGTAATGGATTACATTTAACATCAATAAAAACATCATTCTTTGAAGCACTCAGAACATATATTTCAATGTGACAGTAGGTCACCCAGTAATAAAGCAACACAGCATGCAAATAGTTGCAAAACTTCGTTGCTTAACTGTAGGCCTAGCAATCTCCAGAAATACTACAGAGGTCTACTGATGACTACTTTTGCTCATCTAGAGGTGAATATGATTTCCAGCAGCTCATGCAAAAAGGAAAACATACAAAACTAAGTTGCAGAAAGAACGCATATGAGAAAGGGAATAAAACCTGAGAAGCAATATAACTTATAAAATAGTGTATTTTACATTAATGAACACATTCTAACACTCTGCACACCAAAGAGAATTTAAGGTATATAGCTGTGAAAAATCAGCATCATTACATTAGGTCTTCAATATTAATTATGTAGGTGTAATTTAGTTTGATATGAAGAAATCAATCCAAAAGGAAAAGAATCCGTCTCAACTTTAAAGTCTAGGCTGAGCTGCAGGACTTATCACCTGGTAGCAATAGACTTTCTATCGTGAAACTGAACAGATTTCACACTGAACAGGGAAACTGAAAGCTACTTCTGCAAGTCACAATTTAAGGTCAGTAACTACACTGAGTTATCTGCATAAGGTCTTCAGCCTTAGGATTCAAAGTTTAATTCCTTAAAAGCTATGACTCCCACAGAACATCAATGCACAGAAAATCATGCTAAAAATCCATGTGCAAAAACACACTTATAGATGTAAAGCAGAATTTGAGCTTTGATCAAAATATTCCAATCCTCCCCCACTCTTCTCCCACAGAGCAACCTGTAGCATTGGAAAAATAATTAGTTTCATAAAAAGGCTTTTTAAAAGCATGCATTTAGCTTTATATTTGTGTTTACCTTAACATGGTAAAAATATAGCGAGGGCTGGCAGCATCCTTTCCACCATGAAGCCTGGTACCAAACTGACCAATAGGCTGTAGCAGATTAACATTGTTACTGCCAACAAAGTTCTGAGCCAAGTTGACAATAGTCATCATTAACGCTTGCTGCAAGAAAATACATATTAATAGTGATAAATATAAGCAGAGACAAGCTTTCCTAATCAGTCAATAAAATACATTTTTAATGCTCAAAAATTGTGTGACCAACCTGAACTCAATTTCAAAAAAAGTAGTCTCCCTTAGAAAGGAATATTGTAAACCTATTACAAGAGCTACTGGGAAAACACAATGCTCCTTCTTCCACAGCCATGTTGCCTCCCTGATTTAAGTGTCCTCACATTCTATGCTTATGGAAATCCCTGGCCTTCTCCATTTTTTTTCTAAAGCACTTCTCTGGAGGCATGAAAGAGGCACAAACTAACTGCACTTACTACCACATGAAATACTGCTCATTGCTTTTAAAAAGAAAGAAGAAGGGATGGAGAGAGACTGTTAATATGGCAACTCCTGCTTATATTTCAGATAAATATACACAAAACAGGAGCTAGAAATAATCTTTGTTCCAACACTGTACCAGGTTTTCATAGAACAGTATCTCTCCTTCTTCCCTTAAAAGACTATTTCTTGTTCAAGACAAAAAGTGTCTAGTACATAGTTCCTACATTCCCATTATTTGAGAATCCAGAAGTTACCTAGTTATCTATTATTTTGCCACAATGCACAAACTATTTGTGATACCACTGTGCACAAAGACTTGGAAAAATTGGAAATACGCTGTTTTATTAAGCTACATATTGCTTGGTTCATTTTCCTTTAAAGTAAGTCTGTGATTAGTAGACTTCTAGTCAACAGCTTTGCATTTCAATACAGCAAACGTTTACCCAATATTTTATATAGGCTAAAAATCCTCACAATTTTATTATCCTTCATACTCACCTCCCCATGGTGATAAGCTGACATTTCAGCAACAGAACCAGCCAGCTGAGCAACTTTTACTTCACGTTTATCATTTCTCTTAAAGCAAGTGAATAAAACTTTGCGTTGCCCTGGTTTCAAACCTATTAAGAAGAATATTCCATTTTCAACACATATACAAGCACATGTTTTTAAGTAATAAACTTGTTTCGCCTTATTAATATTTCTAATCTCTCAATAGAAGTCTAAACATGAAATGCAAAAAAACCCCACACTGCAATATTAGCAAAATAACAAATTAACATCTCAGTTCTTTTAAAATAACACTATTTTACCAAACTGAAAAAGTTACCAGAAGAGTGGAAGTGTAACCCCTTCAGCCCATCATTACTATGCAGCATACAATGCATCATTCTAATACACAGCAACTTTTAAATGTACAGCTTCCACAAATCACGAATTGTTTCTTTCAAGTCTACTCAACAAAAACTTTTTCCTAAGAATATCAACACAAATTCAGCAGTGACAAGTGTAACTGTAGCTTACATGTATTTTAAAGCACTCTAAAATTTTACATTTTGTGTGAAATTCTCAAATGCTCATTAAAATTCAACAGGAAGACCTATTATTTGTCTCCCTTTTAGATCTTTTAAAGTTTTAAGAAAGAAGTCAGTCTCTTTGATCTTCCAATTTATTTTTACTGTTTAGGCACACTTTAAGTACAACATCTGCATGGAAAGGATTGCATAATTTTTTCTGCATGCTATCTAGAATTGATAACCCATTCTAGATGATGCATATTGATCTATTCAGTGTTTTAATTCACGTACATTTCTGAAAAGCACTAAAATATTGCTATGTGTTACCATTACTAATCTGGGTCAAACATAAGAGGAAAAAAAAAAAGACAGACTCCAATCTCTATTTCTCTATTTCATTTAAATATGCAATATACAATTTTCCTTACAATGGGTCTGCATCACATTTTTCTACTAAAAATATATTGAATGTACCCGACTTAAGAGGATTTCCTTTATACAGAAGAATCACCAAGGAGTAAGAATGGTAGCTAGAAGCTGTGAGGAGATAGTTAAGACAATCTTCTTCCTCTTTACTTTTCCTGAGATTTGCTACCAGACTAGTCTGTTATATATCACTTGATACTGAAGAACAAAAACCATTGCTAGAGAACTATAACTGCTGAACAGTTCACATCTCCATGCCCAGAATGCAGAATTACGGCCAAAGTTGGAAGAAACACTGATAGCAATTACATATAATATGTAAATTATATGTATAATACTGTACATACTATGTGTGTGGAGTGTATAATATATATGTATAGTGTTAGACATAATATTATGTGTAACTGATAGCAATTATATATAACATGTATAATATTATATCTACATACATTATATTATATATATACACACACATGTGCACATGCAATTATATAAATAAATAAGTTCCCTTCTAGTTTTCTTACACTTCTGTAAACACAATCTTGGAGAACTTCAATTCAAAGAAACTAATTGTTCTGCTGCAAGTTCATTCTTTATGTTTCAGAAAAATCATTCTGCTGTTTCTGAGAAACCAGTCAGTGTAGAGTATAAGGAACAATGACCTCCTGATACACACAGATCTATAGCGAGTCTTGCTCCAGAGCAGCAGACTATGGAATGCTTGCATAGAGACCACCAGTTAATCAAGTGTCCAACTACAGGAGGAAGTAAGTCTAGAGAAGCTGAAACAGACATTCTTTGATTCCCTAGAGATGTATTTGCATATCTAACCCAGCCTCATTCTGCAGTGGAGCTGGAGATCCATCCCACCAGGAAGCTGCTACCCCTATCCACCTGTGAACTATCCCATACAAAAAGCTCTTGCTGCATGAATATTTTGGTATGAGTCTGTAGCGTCAAGAAGGTTGATCACCTCCACTACAGAAAAATCTACGGGAAAGTAGAGATAAAGGTGCTTGGGCTTCCCCGCCCCCCC